GGGAACAAGGATGGAAGAGTAGAGTTTAAGAGGGGGTAGGGGAGGGAACAGGGATGGAAGGGTAGAGTTTAAGAGGGGGTAGAGGAGGGAGCAGGGATGGAAGGGTAGAGGTTAAGAGGGGGTAGGGGAGGGAGCAGGGATGGAAGGGTAGAGTTTAAGAGGGGGTAGAGGAGGGCTAACTATCATTAAGGATGTAAATATATCATATGGAAATCTATTGTTTTATGAAGTTCATATGTGTATGGGTTTTTTTTTCCATGAGAATTTTAATTGGAATTACAGAAGATAATACTTCCTCCAAAAATCACAGGCTGTCAGAAGCTCAGTGCCAAGTGTGGGGTGCCTACCCGTGAGTTAGTTGCTGGTCATGCATGTCCCAGAGACCCCTAAACAACACAAGCTATTGCCATAGCTCTTGGTTCTCCATCAGAGTGTAATGGTAAGACCAACTGCTGAAGAACCACACACTGTAGACACAGGACATGGAAAACTCAGGTTGTTACTGCCTACAAATTGCCTACGTGCTGGCTAGCTTTCTAGGAACTAGATCTAGGAACTGAAAGGCACTGGGCAGGATGCTACCCCGTTGTGACTGGCAAGGCAAGACACACCATGGTGCGACAGTGGGACAAATGTTATGGGAGCAGCCAAGTGCTGATTGGATTTAGGGCCTGCATAATAGCAGATGCATGCCCAGTCCTGTAAACTGGGCCAGGAACGCATTGCTGGAGAGTCCACAGGCTCCAGGCATCAACCTACTACTACCATTTTGGTAAATAGGCAATCTGCCCTCTAAATTTGTTAACTCTATACCTAAATATCAGTACAGCGTTTAGACCTTATCAGAGAAGTTTCTTTGTACAGTGAAAAATAGTTAACACAGATATCCAGCACTGGCCAAATTACAGAGACTATGTGTGTGGAGTGTTCAGAAGTGAATGGGACACCTGTATTATATTGCCCTTTCCCCAAGGCTCAGGGAACAAAATGGAAGGGTGTGTGTGTGAGAGTGTAAGACCAGAGGTCAGGAAAGACCAGCGTGAAGCTGTGCTTTCTGGGCACCATGGGGCTACTGTACTCAGGAGCTCATGGCAGCTGTGGTAGCCACGACAAGACAAGCCAGTCAGCATTGCTGCATAGAGGGAGGGACTCAGGAGAGCCCTGCCCCTAGCCACTGACAGGTGATGGAGGAGGGAGTTAGTTTTAAGGGTGTGGAAACTGTAGGTCAACTGCTGCAGTGGAAGGCCCCACTTCCTTGAGTATCTGGGCAGCATAAACTGAACTTGATGGGTTATCTAGAGAAAAAAACAGGTACTTGAGCTTGGGTAGAGATGAGGTGGGAATGGGAGGACTTTGGGGTGAAAAGGAAGGGGGGTGAATTCGGTCAAGATACATGTCATATGTGCATGGAGTTCTCTTCCATTTCTAGCTGTGAGCCTTTAATGGCTAAGCTATCTCTCTAGCCAAATTGCCAACCTGGGAGCCTGCGTGGGACTGACCTAGGCCCTCTGCACATAGGTACACTTATGTAGCTTGGTCTTCTGGTGGGACTTTTAACAGTGAGAGTGGGGGCTGACTCTGACTCTGTTGCCTGCCTTTGGGACCCTTTCCTCCAACTGAGTTGCTTCACTGAGCCTTAATAGGAGAGAAGGAGGAGGAGAGGAGGAGGAGGAAGAGAAAGAGGAGGAGGAGGAGCCTAGTCTTAAGGCAGCTTGATATGCCAAGGCTGGTTGATACCCTGGGAGGTCTACCCTTTTCTGAAGAGAGATGGAGGAGAGGACGGGAGGACTGAGGGAGAGAAGTTGGGGGGAGGGACTGGGAGGAGAAGAGGAAGGGGAAACTGCAGCCAGGATGTAATAAATAAATAAATAAATATCCAAAGAATTAACAAAGATTAATAAAAAGTCAAAATAAATGGCTCTAAAAAAATCCTGTCTGGGGCTGACTTCTGGTCTCCACATGTGTGTGCACACACATGTGCCCACATGAACACTCTTCCACATGCACATGTGTGCACATACACACACATCCGTTCCTAGTCTTCTAAAGTTGGCAGCCCACTGGATAGCCAAAGATACTAGGAATCACAAGAGGTAGGTGATTTCTCTGTGGACATCTCCCAAAATGGCAAGAGGCAGTGAGAAAGTCAGGGTGACTCACAATGCTTTTTATCGTCCCCTTACTTCTCCGCACGGAAACACCGGAGAGGGGTATTACTTGTTTAGTCAATGTACCATAAGCTAGTCTATAGCATAGCTTTTTCTCTAATAGAAAAGGTACATGTCTATAACTTTACTGAGAAAAACAAAAGTTGTAATACAGAGAAAGAAGCTCACCAGCTCAGAATCCTCAAGGTGGTTTCCCAGGTCATTTTTCAAAGTTGTTATGGTTTCCTCTTTGCTCAGCTGAGAGGCAAGATGTGTAAAATATTTGCCAGTGGAGTCAGAGGGAGCACACTCTGCCAGGGACTGGTGGATCTGTCCAGGACTCACATCCAGCAGATGAGGAGGACGGCTACAGAGAAAAGAAATGACATTATCTGTGGATACATTTCAGGGTCAATATTTAGTTTATACCACGGCAGAGAATAGCCAACAGGTGTTTCTGTGTGATTTTAAGTGAGACTCTCACTGGCTTTCATCTGCATTTAGACTATTGATTTATTCAACATCTACTATATGTTAATATTTCTAATTATTCTCTGTGCAGGTTCAACTTTGAATAGCTCTTTAGCTGCATAAGGACAGTAAGGCAGGCTAGAATTCTATTCCTAGATGTTATTCAAGACAGAAGCTAATGTGACCACAGGTCTAACTTGTATTTCGACTTAGTAAGAAAAGGAGAAATAAGAAAAAACACCTTACTCTTGTCATCTATTTTTCCTTATATACTTATTTTCCAAAATTGGGGACTGAACTCAGGGTCTTATTCATGCAACAGAAGTAGTCCACATTGTCCGCTGCTCTCGGAGAGGGTCTTTCTAGGTGTTGTAGGCTAGCTGGGAAAATAGGACAGTTCCCATGGTCACTCTGGATGAAAGAATAGGAAGGACAGAAGGGAGAAGGAAGGAAAGATGGATGGACAGACGGATGACAGACAAATGATAAACAGATAGTGGGAGGAAGGAGGAGAGGACAGTGGGAGGAAGGGAGAGTATGAGGAGAGAAAATGTAGGCAAATATGCTTGGGCATACACACACACACACACACACACACACACACACACACACACACCCAGCAACAATCTAGGCAGGAGCAGCTGCTAGGGGCGTGGTTGTATCTGTACCTGCAGCCCCTACACTTACCACCATTTTCTCTTTCTCAGTTTCCAGGTCTTGCAGTTTGTAAACCCCTCTTGGCCTCTTCTAGCAAGTTTAATCATCCAGGGTATCATTATCCAAATAAATCTCTTTTCTTTCTGGTTAAACTGTATTGAGAAGCTGTTTTCTTAATTACTAATGGATATACTCAAGAGAGAAACACGGGTTAAACTGACTGGTCTGAGAGCTCACTAGTTTATTGAAATTGTTAGTCCTAACAAGAAGACCTCTACTAATTTATTATTTGCTAACAATTCTGAATTCACAAACATTCCATTGTTTACAAAAAATGTTCTTTATTATGTGTATATGTGCATGTGCCCTTCCCTCTGGAGCTGGAGTTATATGAGTTTACGAGCCGCCTGGTACGGGTGCTAGGAACTGAACCAGAGCCCTCTCTAAGCCCTGAGCTATGTCTCCAGTCCAGCAGATGTTGCTTTCTTAGAGTCATCTATGTTGCTGGTACCTTGCTATACCACCAGCTGCTCTGGACACTGCAATACTGGCAATACCTGCTTTCTGATTCCGACTTGCCGGGTGTTTTCTGAGGGAGGTAAAACATGGTGCATATGGATTCCTCCTGGCCTCTCGGTGCTTCATGTGCAAAGGTTGCCATCGGGGTCACATTTGGTATCTTCACTGGCACTCTCACAGACTCATCCTCCCCACTCTCACTGTGGTCGCTGTAACTCTCTCTCCTGGATGGAGCCTTGCACTGTTTCTTCGTTTTGCCACACATCCCATTCTTGTCCAAGCTGGCTTGTTCCACCAAGAAGGATGATAGCTGAGAAGGCTCTTTATTGCTGTTTAGAAATGCTTGTGCTGGAGAGTGGAGTGGGGTCTGAAAGGGACACATTGAAGGACATCAGAGGGTGATAACCTACATCAACTTTCCAAACAGTCAACTTATTATGAACCTGCTAAGAAGCAGTACTTTATATAAAGATATAAACTTTCTGTTAACAAACTTAATTTATGTTCTTTAAAGGGTAATATAGAATGATAATTGCTAACACAGTAGGAGTTACATATTTTATTACAATAATTAATTTGGGGGTATAATTTTCTCAGTATCCAAATACCACAGTGCATGTGTAAAGGTCAGAGAACAACTTACGGCTGGTTCTCTTTCCACCCAGGGGGCTCCTGGGCTTGAACTCAGGTCCTTGGGCTGCTTATCTGATGAGCCTCTTTACAGCCCGAATTACATTTTCTTTTCAAACTGTATTTTACTTATTTCTGCGTGTTTGTGCATGCCGTGGCATGTGTGTAGGCGAGAGGACAATTCTGCTGAGTCAGTTCTCTCCTGACACTTTTACATTGTTTCCAGGGATCCAACTGATGTCAGGCTTTTTACATCAAGCACCTTTACTCACTGAGCTGTCCTGCCAACCATGACTTATACTTTTATGTCAGAATTGGAGTTGGATTATATATTGTACTTGGTATCCTATTTCTAAAATTTAGGATTCTACAATGAATGATTTCTAACCTTTTAAAAACAGTTATGTACTTTTAAGATTTATTTATGGGGCTGGAGAGATGGCTCAGCAGTTAAGAGCAGTGACTGCTCTTCCAGAGGTCCTGAGTTCAATTCCTACCAACCACATGATGACTCACAACCATCTATAATGAGATCTCATGCCCTCTTCTGGTATGCAAGTGTACATGAAGATATATATTAAACAAATAAATATTTAAAAACAAACAAACAAAAACAAACCAAACAAAGATTTATTTATTATTTTATAAATGTGTGTAGGCTTGAGTGCATGTATGGAGCACCACATGTATGCAGGTCCCACAGAGTCCAGAAGAGGGCATAGGGCCCTCTGGAATTGGAGTTCCAGGCACTTGTGAGCTGGGTGACGTGGGTGTTAGGAGCTAAACCTGGGTCTTAGGAACTGAACCCATGTCCTATGGAAGCACAGCAAGTGTCCTTAACTACTGAGCCACTTCTCTAGATTTTTTGTGAAGGTTTAAAATGTGCTTTGGAAACAGCTTTAATGAGTACATCACAGTTTTACAGAGGGCTGCCTTTATTGTAGCCACCTTTACTGAATATATGGTTTACGTTAACAGAACTACAGGTGAGCTTTCTGCAGAACTACAGGTGAGCTTTCTGCATGCATGAAAACTCCCTCACGGCTTGCCTTTTTCCCTGTAATTCTCTACATTATCACACACAGTATGTTTTTGAGGCCCATTTAAAATCTTTCCAAATTGCTTTCTAGAAATACTTGATCAACTGATGTACTCACCAGGAGTATTGTTTTTAGCCCTTAGTTTCTGGTGTTTCAAATCAATCCCTCTGTGTGTGTGCATGTGTATATGTGTGCATGTGTGTGCGTCTACATGTGTGTGTATGTATGCATGTGAGTATGTAGGTACATGTGTGAACATGTGTGTATGTGTGTGATTTGTGCATTATGTGTATGCACACATGTGCATGTGTGTACACGTGTTTGACTGTGATGTATGTATGTATGCATATGGGCATGTGTGTGTATGCATTTGTGTTATGTATATATGTGTGTGTGTACATCTGAGTATGTGTTTGGGTGCAGGTATGAGTGTGAATGTATGCATTTGTATATGTGTGTGTGTGTGTGTACATGCATGTGTTTGAGGAGGATAGAAGGTAGCACCAGATTTCCTGGAGCTGGAGTTACAGAAAGTTTTAGGGGACTCTGTAAGAATGGCCTGTGCTCTTTCCGGCCCTTCAAATGCTACTTCTATTAAATTTCAGAAGCCCTGTTCTGCTGTTGTATCCCCCTCCATGTCACCTCCCGAGTATACAGGTGAAAGGACCTGGCTCCAGCAGCTCTTCCGTCCAGATTCCAAGAACAGCACTGCGAGTGAACTCCTAAGCTGATAGGAGGCCAAAGGCAGATTTTCTTGAAAACACTCTCAGAATACAAGATAACAGCTCCTAGTTAAATATGGAGGTATGAATCCCAGTATATGCAGCTGAATTAGCAAACCGGTATTCTATGAAAACAGAAATTAGTACCAAACGACCTTACCAAAAATGCAGTATCGATTTCTGGAAGCACACCAGGTGCGGGCCTGCAGAGGAGCAAGGACACTTCTGGAGCTGTTCCCCTGAGAGCAGATATGACATCCTAGAGGCACAGGAGGAGAGATCACAGAGGAAGATGGAGGGAAGCCAGAAGGAGGGAAAGAGCCAGCTGCCCACTGGCCCATCCTCTGATAACTGAACCTTTGCCCCTGCCTGATGCTCCCAGCTCACCTGCTGAGACAGTCCTTTCAGGGAGGCTCCGTTCACTTTCAATATAACATCTCCAACATTGATTTTCCCACTCTCTGCAGCCGGCTGTCCAGGGAAGAGCTTCTTAACCCTGACTATGCTGCCATTCATTTGCTCTGGTATAAGATTATCTTCTCGAGAAAAACTGAATCCAAGGCCAGAGCTATTTTTAAACAGCTTGACCTCAAATGTATTATCTAGAGAAAAAGATGAAAAAGTTACATATTATTAAGCTGTGTACATATGAACACACAAACACACATATTCTTGGACATGCTTTTTAAAGAGATGTGTTTATTTTACGTATGTGAGCACACTGTCATTGTCTTCAGACACACGATAAGAAGGCATCAGATTCCATCACAGATGGTTATGAGCCACCATGTGGTTGCTGGGAATTGAACTCAGGACCTCTGGAAGAGCAGTCAGTGCTTTTAACCCCTGGGCCATCTCTCCAGCCCTAGATGCGCTTTTAAGGAAGCTTATTTAGGCATGATTTCTTCAGCACATTCCACTCTCTCACACACTCTCTTCCTATCATTATAAAAACCATTCTTACTTTTCATTCTGTGTGTGGTGTGTGTGTGTGCCTGTGTGAGTGTGTGTACAAAAGCCAGATGCTGATGCCAAGTACATCCCTCTCTACCTGTCATCTCCCCTCCCCTCCCCT